GCAGGCCTCACCACAGGGTAGGGAACGTGGCTCTATCCCGGGGACAGGGGGGTGTCTGTCTTTCTCTGGCTGACTGGCTTGGGAAAACATGATCTAACAGGAAGGACCCTAGAACCCTGGTTATCAATCAGGCTGTCCCAGGCTAGAAGAGGGCTCAAAGTCCACACCCAGACCCTAGGCTATTGGTTTGGTTTGGTTTTAAACCTTCACAGCTATGGCTTACTTGGCCCTCCACTATGGCATTTCCCCAGCAGGAATTTCACTGTGTGCAAACAGTCCTTCTGGTGGCTATTTTGGTCAGTCTGACTGGGCCAGAAGCCAGTAAGGCAGTTTCTAAGGACAGGCTTTCCCAGTTGCCTAGCCTAGAAGAATTCAGAGCGGGTGAGGAAAAAGCAAGCCATGGCTGGTTTTAAAGAACAAAACGACCTCCAGGGAAACTGGCAAATCAGCCTGGATGAAGGGTGGAGGGAGCAAGCTGGGCTGTGACAGACTCCAGACTGCCCGGACAACTGAACACCCAGCAACCACAACACAGGAAGATGACGTTCACGCCTTTCGTTGCAGAACAACTCTGGGAAGAGGCTGCTAATGCCACAGGCCAAATGGAGAGAACAGAGGTCTTCTCCATCCTCACTGTGACTCCAGCTGAGCCATGACCCTGAGATGTACACACAACTTTATCAAGAAGTTACACTTCCTTTCTGAGCTGTGATTCCTAACCTCTCCTCTCAGACAAAACCCCTCAGTCACCTTGTGCAGACAGTTCCTTAATTCTATGGTTCAACTTAACACTTTTTTTTCACATTTTAATCATATATTATTTGTATATACATGTGTATACACTGGCATATTGCTATACACATGCCATGGCTAACATGTGGAGGTCAGAGGACATCTTGTGGGAGGTGGTTCTCTCTCTCCATCATGTGGGTCCTGGGGATTGAACTCGGGTTGTCAGACTAACCTTGACAAGACAGGCACTGGGCTAACACCTCCAAGCACTGAGCTAACTAACCTGCAGGCCTTCAACTTAACTTCTCAACCTTATATAGTACATGAAAACATACTCATGATTATGTTTCCTACTTTTAGTACAGTATTCAATAAGTTACATAATAGCCAACATTTTATAAAAATGCTTTGTGGTAAACAATTTTGTTCAGCTCTCACCAAACTAAGAGGTCTTTGTTTTTTGAGAGAGGTTATACTGATGTAGTTCAGGATGGCCTCATATACACTAAGGAGCCAAGGATGACCTTGAACCCCTGACCCTTCTGGAGTGCTGTGAATACAGATGTGTATCTCTACACCTAGTTTTCTTTTATTTCCTTCTTTTTTGTTGTTTTCAAGACAGGATGTCTGTGTGTAGCCTTAGCTATCCTGAAACTTGCTCTGTAGACCAGGCTGGCCTCAAACTCAGAGATCCACCTGCCTCTGCCTCCCAAGTGTTGGGATAAAAGCCTGTGCCACCACTGCCCGGCTGCACGCCTGGTTTTCAAACCCAGGGCTTCATTCATGCTAGGCAAGCATTCTTCCAATGGAACTACACCCCTCACTATATTTGGAAGGCTGGGTATATTAAAGTGCATGTTTGACTTCCAATTTACCCAACAAACAGCCTCATACTAAGCCAAGGAGGGTCTGTACTTGCTGTTCCTAATTACTTCCAATAGTCATTCTTAAACTTGGCTCAACCAGGTTGTATTGCCCCATTCATGCTACCAAAATTGCTAATGCTCCCAGACCTCATGTTACCAAATCTAACTGCTAACTCCAACACCTGAGCCCTCATCTTTTGGGATCTGACAGCTAACCGTTCTTGCTCCTGGAAACACTCTTTGATGGATTCTCTTTGAAAGCCTTCTCCCTTGCAGGCTACTTCTGAGTTTCTGATGGTCCTCCTCTCCTTTCAAATCCTCAGAAGCAGGCCACTGAGACTCCACTTCAGGACTTGTACTTCTTCCGTCTATACCTATTTTCTAGGTGATTTCATCTACTCTCATGGCTTTCAAAACCAACACTACATAATGATAATGCCTGGGTTTCTCTGCAGACTTTGCCTGCTGTGTGCTGCTGACACCTTCACTTGGACATATTAGAGGGTATCTTGACTCTAACCAGCCCTGAACAGTGCTTCTGATAGCTTCTAACTCCATGCTTCCTTCAAACATCCCCCACTGCAGTGAATGCTAACTCCATCCTTCAGATGGTCAGTCCTAAAAACTCGGAATTATCCTTGATTTTGTTTTTCTCATACATGAGAGAAAACACTTCAAAACACACTCCAAATATGACCTCTTTCACCACCTTCTTGGTCACCACCTAGATCCATGTCTGTACCTAGACAACAGAAGGCTACTGAGCTGCCCTTCCAACCTTGACTCTGCCAGTCCATTCTCAACATACCAAACATAAATGAAGTCCCATCGCTCTTCTGTTCAGAGGCGCTCAACAGCATCCCATCAGAGAGCCAGAGTTCTGACCATCACACACAGGCGTGGAACCCGACAACCCCCCCTTCCCCAAAGTTCCTGTGCTCTCCCTTGCCCGGTCCTTCTGCTTGCTCCCACGTCTGCTTTACCTGCCTCAGTTCACCCTCCTCTCCTCACTCTAGACAGAACTGGTTCAACCCCTTCACTCTTTTAGAGTTTCATGAAGTCATTTTCTCAGCAAGACAGCCCTGAGCACCCTGTGTAAACTGCCTCTCCCACACATTTTCCCTACCCTCCCTCTCTTCTATTTTTATCCTTAGACTTATCACTTTCCAACAAGTACTTATTAGTTACTTAATTACTGTCTCGTTAAGAATGCAAATTTCCAGCCAGGAGGTAGTGGCGCATGCCTTTATTCCCAGCACTCAGAGGCAGGTGGATCTCTGAGTTTGAGGCCAGCCTGGCCTATAAATCAAGTTCCAGGACAGCCTGGGCTACACAGAGAAACCATGTCTCTTAAACAAAATAAAAAAATAAACAAAAGAAGAACCAAAGGAGGGCTGGGGTGTGGTTCAGTTGCTAGAGTGCTCTTCTAGCATGCACCAAGCCTGGGTTTCATCCCCAGTACCCAATAAAACAAGTGTGGTGCCTGTGTGAGCTACAGCAGGTCAAACACTTTAATGCAAGTAAGTGAATCCCACAGATGGCAACATAGCTCCAAGCTACACTTTGATACCCTTTCTAGTTAGCACATGCATGGGGACATCAGTTAAGACCGTGAGGGCATCTAAATGTGAACACTCCTGATGTGTCCCGTTCTGAATTCTTTTCCTTCGTGCATGACTGTTGTCACTCCTAGTTTGCTTGTTGCCTGGGTCACAGGGCATCAATGTGGGGGCAGTAGGGGATGATGGGACCACTTCAGCATGATGGAAGCAGTCCCAGGAAACCATGCAAGCTTTTCTGCTTAAGAATACTAGGACTTCAGGAGACAGAGGCAGGAGGATCTCTGAGTTAGAGGCCAGCCTAGTCTACAGAGGGAGTTCCAGGACAGCCAAGGCTACACAGAGAAACCTGTCTTGAAAAGAAAAAAAAAAAAAAAGGGAATACTAGGACTTGCTGGGTGGTGGCGGCACTGGCCTTTAATCCCAGAGACAGAGGTAGGCGGATCTCCATGAGTTCCAGGACAGCTAGGGGTACACAGAGAGACCCTGTCTGGAAAAAAAAAAAGGAATCCTGGGACTCTGGGCTGGAGAGACGGCTTAGAGGTTAAGAGCACTGGCTGCTCTTCCAGGGGTCTGAGTTCAATTCCTAGCAACCACATGATGGCTCACAACTATCTATAATGGAATCTGGTGCCCTCTTATGGCATGGAGTCATACATGCAGGCAGAACACTATATAGATAATAAATATCTTAAAGAAAAAAAGAATGCTGGGACTCATAATTCTGTGTAGCAAACAGGAGAAATAAAAGCAAGTATCTCCCCCTGCCCCCAATGCCAAGAATCTCCTTATGCACAAACATGCTGCCTTCTCCACTTTGGCAGTGTGTTTGTGAGTCACTCTCTGAGCTCTCCCAGGCTAGGATCAACTACTGAAATGAGTAGTGACTTCATTTCCCTGGAGAAGAGAGGGAGGCTGGTTTGCTGCTTGCTCTTCGGAAGCCTGGGAAATGTCTTCATCTGATTTTTGTTTTTTCTTTCTCCAATTTCCAAATTAAATATAAACCAGAGGCAGAAGCACTTCACTTGCAATCACATGACCCTGCTAGCTGTCTCCTAATCTCTATTCACAGTCTCAGGAGCCACTTTGGGATTTTATCAAATCCCAAGAGAGGTGACAACCCCAATGAGGACATTCTAGAAAGACATTTAAAAATGTGCAGTGACTGCTGACTCTTCCAGAGCCACTTTTGCCCTGTGGCTGAGATGAATGGCACCTGAAGGGCCTAAATCACCACACAGAGGCAAACTGGCATCTCAGAGGACTTAGCCTGGGCCACCCAAACTAAACCTCTGCACCACAACACAGCAGCTGCTGGCTGGACACAGCAAGCAATCCTGATGCTGAAAAAAAGGCAGTGAGGGGAAAGAGGTGGCCATCATCGACTCCACCAGCTGGCCTTACAAGCAGGCTTGTGCTATATGACGTGACAGCCTTGACAGCTCAACACTACTTGGAGCTGTCTCTGGGCCACACTGGGAAAGAAGCACCAAGATGGACACTTTGTCCATTCACAGATCTCACACTGAGCAATGGCTCGTCTCACTAGGGCATGCTGGTACTTTGAAGAAAGGCACAGTGACACTGGTGATAGTGACAGAGTGCTTCCCAAACATGTACCAAGGGGTCTGGCTTCCCCACCCCAAGACACTGGTGCCAACACTGAGCTTGCTCCGATACTGGTTTTGCATTTTCCTTCAGGATCCCACGAAGCAGCAGGAAAAGTTTTCTATTCACCATTTGTCAACTGGAACAAATCCACAATGACATCGGGGTTGTCTCCTCAAGAATGACCCCTCCTCCAGTCCATTCCTATTTAGCCTTACTTTCACCTTCCCACCAGGCCCCAAAAGATTTCTGATGGAAATGTGAAACCCCTCTGCCCTGGGGCCCTCAGGAAAGCTGCTCATGAAAACACCTTATGGAGAGCACACCTTAAGAGACAGACCTGCAAATGCATTTGAGAAACAAAGACCTGAGCTCTGGCTGTGGAGGGAGAAGGAGATGAGCCATGCAGGAATTTTCATGACAAAAGCCACCAACAACACTTATTTGGTCCACCCAGTGAGTAAAATTTCCTTGTTTTCATTTGTATTTTTTTGAGACAAGGTCAGCTACATAGCCCAGGCTAGTCTGCAACTAAGTAGCCTAGGGTGGACTCAAACTCTCAATCTTTTGGCCTCAGCCTTGCACCACACCCAGCCTGGGTTCTGGGTTTAGAGCAAGCTGGAAATGAGCTCACAAATCCTTTAACCCACACAAAAGGACAGTCCAGACACACCACCAACTAAACATACAAGGAAGTGGATGACCTTCTCCAAAGAGATTACTCCAAGTTCACAGCTCACACGGATTAAAATGAGGCCACCTGTAATCCTATCAACTCAGATGTATTTTTGAATGCTCTATACAACCTTCACAGCAATGTCTCTCTGCCTTTCACTCCGTGGTCCTTACCCACCTGACCCAAAATAATGAGTAGTATTTTCAGTGTCTGGAAGCAGAGTTTCCGAGTGCAGATGAAACATAGATGGAATAAAGGTAATTTAGGGGGAACGGTCCATTTCTACCATGGGAATGGACGGGAGAGGTCAGGGTCTAGAAAACTGCTGAGCCCATGTCAACGCCAGAGCCTACTGGCTGGCTGCAAGAAGCTTTAAACGTTGTTACAAGGGCCAAGATTGGGCAATACTTGCTTAAAGTAAGCTTGGGGATTGCCACATACCTATGGCCAAGGACTTGTCACTGCTTAGTACAAGGGAGTATAACTTCTCCAAAACACTTAACCAGAAGAACTAAGATGTTCAAGACCCTAATACGAACTTCCCTACCTGCTGGAAAGGCTTGGGCTTTTTATTCAAACATCTATCATAATCTCTACTGCTGTTCTCCTCTTTGACAGGCTTCCACAGGCCCAAACTGGTGTGTGCTCGCTCGCTCACTCTCTCTCTCTCTCTCTCTCGTGTGTGTGTGTGTGTGTGTGTGTGTGTGTGTGTGTGTGTGTGTGTCTGTCTGTCTGTCTGTCTGTCTGTCTGCAGTGTGGAAGTTGTTTCTCTTCTTTCACTAGGTAGGAGCCAAACTTAAAATCAAATCTAAGGAGAGTCAGCTTATGTGATGTCCGCAGGGATGCCAAGTTCTTCCTTTCCATGCCAGCTGGGTGCCCAGGGAAAGGTAGTTATGAGCAAACCCTAGTTAGTTCTCTTTGACAAGAGACTTTGTCTTTAGCAGCTAGCTCAGGGCTCATAATGGTATCAGAGCAGCTTGTTTTTCCTGTTGCTGTTCCTTTTAACAAGAGAGAAATCTCTGTACAACCAAGTAGAAGAACTAGAAAACTCACCAACCACCTCAGCCAAAGATAATTCATATTAACCAGGATTGATGCCTGTTTGGTCACTGAAAACCAAGCAAATCAGTACACACCTAGAATCCCAGTGCTTGGGAGGCTGAGACATGAGGATCTCAAATTCAAAGCTTATACAGATTACAGTATGAACACAAGCCAGCCAGGACTTCATATCAAGATCATGTTTCAACACCCCACCCGCCTAAAAGAAGCCACTGGAAGGTTGACATAAGGCCCGCTGATTGGTTTTTGAAATCTGCTCCTTTCATTGTCATCAAGAATTTAAAAGAAACCAAAGCACTGATGACTACATCACTATAGACAATGGATTTCTTTGTGTCAGTAATGGAAATTGCTGCTGTGATCTGGGCTCCATCATTCCCTCTGCTAATTCACTATGGGCTGGCTAACACCCTAACCTTTCTAGCCTTAAAAATCTTATCCAAGACAGCTCCAGGCTGAAGATACAGCTCAGTGGTAGGAAGTGCTTGTCTAGCATTTGTGAGGATCTAGATTCAACCTCCAGCACAACAGGGGGTGGGGGTCAACTCGGGGCTTTATCCTCCTCTGTAATGCCCAGTGCCTTCTAGGGCACAGCATGAAACAGCTGTAGACAGTGCATGCCAGGACACACTGAAACATCAAACGCCTCTCTGCAATGAAATCTGGGCCAATTCATGGTTCACAGATCACTGGCCTTTCTCCATGAAGCAACAAATAAATGATCTAGTAACCTTCTAAAAAGAGAAAAGTTCAGGAGAAAAGCCAAACAGTCAAGTTAATTGGGAAACAATTAAACATGACAGACTATTGGAATCAAAACCAAGGAATGTAGTGAGGACAGGTTTCTCAATTGCCCAAGGCAGAAGAAACACTTCCTTTTGTACTAAAATTAGAAAGGCACTGGGAAAGAAACCTAAGAAGGGAGGGAGGAAGCTGAGCACCATTAAGTCAGCAACGAGGAGAGAGGGAGAAAGCGAGAATCTATTTTATTTCTTAGGTCATCCCAGAAGAACGATAGCGCCTACGCTTTCTTGGAATTTCAGTGCATTTTTGCCCCCCTCCCCGCCCCCGCACGGGGCATCGGGCAATAGTCTGGGAGCTCTGTCAACAAGTTCTCAAACTTCTCAGAATTCCAAGAGCTTGCAGATACCTAGTCGCAGGCTCAAGGGGCCAGGTACAAACAGTAAAATTCGGTTTTCACTCGGCAGTCAGCTGCCTAGGGAGTGCCTGACACCGTCTGGGACTGCGGTGCGGCAGGGCAGCAGGCTGCAGCCTAGGCTAGTCTGGTTGGCACCACCAGGATCTCAAGCGTTGCCTGCCCACAGGGCGAGCCCCAGCGGGCGTCGGCCGCCTGCTTGGAGCAGAGTCGGGCACAGCCTGAGGGTCCGGCGCCACCTGGCCAAGGGGGGGTTCCAGGACCGCCTCGCTGCCCGCGCCGCCTGCCAGCCCCGGAAGCGCCTCCCTCCTGCCCGGGGCTCCGAGGGGCGGGGAGTCTAACGCCCCCTTCCGGGTGCCTCCGCCCGGCCGGCCAGCCGCGCTCCTCCTCCGGGCGGGAATCCTTCCTCCCCCGCCCCTCCCGTAGCCGGGCCCCGGCGCCAGGCCCAGTCCCAGGGGGGCACCCCCGGCTCCGGCTTCCCCTCCCCGCGGCCTCTGCCCGCCTCCCCC